CACCTTCCCTTAATTAACATTGTATAACCCAAACGGGGTGTGGTGTAAAACCCACAGGAACGGGGACCCGCAGGGACCCGCACGTGCATTTTGCCTGGGAAACGAGGAACCCGCAGGGGACCCGCAGGGACCCGCAGAAACCCGCGATTTCAACCGCCGCAGTGCAGATCGAGTGCACTGGCCTCAAAAATGCAGCTTTATACAAAAGAGAACATCGCAAGGCATCTTTTGTTTCTTGCACGCAGTTTCTTGACCATGTTTGCACGATTTTCAAGGGTCAGAAGACATTGAAGCATGCATCACTTGCACAACGCAGTTTGTTTACCAGCTCGTCTTTTTTTTTGGCGTTCTCCGAAATCGTAGTTTTCCTCAATGCAAGCCTGATTTTTTGGGAATTTGGGCTCGAAACTTTTCAATTGTCACCTTGCTTTCTTTCATCTCCAAAAACCAATTGTTTGGCTGATTTGTCTTGCAGAAATGTTTGAACTCACAATGTGCATTCTTCGTCTGATTCGATTGATATTTGTGCATGTTCAGTTCAACGTGATGTGCCTTGGCACTTTCTGAATTTGAAAGTGTTCGTAGTTAGCCAACATTGGTTCGGACCGGCAAGCATGGCTCTGCAGCACCCTGGGTTTTGTCGATCATGGTTAGATAGGTTTGTATCAGTTCGTACGGTCCCCTCAACATGGCAGCCGAATGGTTGATGCGACAGGAATCGTGAGCGAGCCGATCAACAAGTCGCAGCGGCTAATCATGCCAGCAACCGGCATGGTGTTGTGTGTCGAGAACGACAGTCGCTACTGCGACAAAGAGATTGCAGCAGCCAGTCGGCACGAAGTGCTGTTACATGATGTCAGTACTCTTGTCATCTTGTCGATCACGATGCATGTTCTGTCACGCCTTACATTTCAAGCTCTAGTATGCGACAGCATTGATTCTGCAAAGCCGCCAGCATCCGTATATGTGTCTTTTGGCTGCTATTGCGTTGTGTTGCTGCATTGTATGCCTGCTGTGGAGACGTGCTGTCTCTGTTGGAAATGTCAGGGCAGCAACAATGCACCGTGCATGTTGCGAGACATCCTCGCAACAGTGAAGGTTTGCATTATCGCATATTCAGTGAAGTACTGCATGCGAACCAGATGAGGCTGATGAGCTGTTACGGTTGGCCTTTCCCGCGAATGTCACTTCCCGCTGTTTTTTGGGCTCACGGAGGGAGGGGATGGCCAAGCCTGGCTTGCGCCCGCCTTCAACATGCAGCCTGATTCTAAGCTGTAGCGGCACGTTGCATTTGTTGCTGCAGTCGTGCAAACATCTTGCAAAAGGGGTTGTTGTAGCAGATGGATGCTCCGCCAGTTGTGTCAGGTCGGGAGTAAAGGTCCTTTCGCCAGTGCCTCATGAGCAGTCTAATCGGAGAAGCCAGGCCAGACTGCGCAAGACGTCCAGTTGCGAACATTCAGCGTGAATTTCGCCAGGCCGATGGCCGGCCAATGCCGCCGCCTCAGAGCCAAACAGGATGGCAGCCATGTACCCAACTCGGCCCGACCGTGGCGTGAGACGTTTTCATGTTCGCGGGGAGCAAGTAGGTCGTTCACCCGGTAAGTGTCGGGCACTTCAATTAATTGACCATTCCAACTGCTATTCCAAGTCAGGACCGTCTGAAGCATTAGAACCCTGCGTCCGGACAGCAGACAGGCGGAACGCCTGGAAAGCCTCACTTTTGCATAAAGTTTTTTGGATGTTCGGCAGCTATGTCTTTCTTTTTGGGGCCGAGCTGTGTGTGTGTGTGTGTGTGGTTAACTGTTTTTTGTCGAGTTGTTGTCGATTGCTGGCTCGACCCAAACCCCAAGCCCAACCTCAGTCCTAAACTCCTAAACCCGAAAACCCAAAACCTAATGAATCCCAAAGCCGGAGCCACACACACCCGAAACCCTGATCTTTTACCACGAAGCCGCATCATTTCCTTTGCGTTTCACGGTTAGCGTTTAAAGAGGCTTGGGGCAGGTTTACAGTTTTCGGGTTTAAGAGTTTTAGATATACGGTTCGGGGTTCGGCCGTGGCTTAAGGCTTGGGGTTTGCGGTTTGGGGATTAGTGGGCTTGGAGTTTCGGGTTTAGGTTCAGGACTTCGGGTCTTGGGTCTGGGCTTTGTGGTTTGAGGTTTTGGGGCTGGGTTTGCGGTTGGGGGGTTCGGCATGGCGCTTAGAGTTTAGGCTTTGATGTTTTGGGATTAGGCCTTTTGGGCCGCCTACGTCTTTTTTCGTGTCCTTTGGCTTTCTGGCTTTGCATCGCCTAGGGTTCAGGGCTTAGTGTGGGGGGTTGTGGGTTTGGGGTTTGGGAGGTTTCGGGTTAAGGGTTCTGGGTTTGGGGTTTAGAGTGTTGGATGTAGAGTTCGGAGTTTGAGGTTTGAGGCTTAGGGTTTGGGGCTTACGGTTCCTACAAACACGAAGCAAAATACTCTGCGAGAAAAATTCAATTAACACAACAAAACCGGAAAAAAACATTCCGTCAGCCAGAGAGAAACGTGCCGTCGGTAGCCTGTAGCCCGGTCTTGGCAGGCCGGCCAAGCTTCTTGGTGCATACTGTATACTTTGTGCCTTGAGCGCCGAAGTCTCCCTGCATGCCTTGTTGCCTCGTGCATTTTCCGTGAGCACCGTCAAATGCCAATTGCCGTTGATTTTTCCGACTGCAAAAGCACTGACTGATGTTGCTATGCTTTGAGTTCTCTGTGCATGGTTCCGCTTCGATCCACTGTGCCGAAGGCCATTTGTGTGCGAACCGAGGCTGCGCACGCAACCGACGACCATCTCGAAGATGGGCCGACGACCTTGATGACGAGGGGTGTTCCACAGAAACCTGCAGCTTTTGATGCTTTGCCTGTGAAGTGGTTTGGGTCTGCCATCCGAGGCCTCCGGCAGTCCGCTCCCTAAACAAAGTTGCTTTGCCAGGATCTGCAAGCGTGCCTTAGCATGAGTACCCGAACCTCTGCACCACATGACAGAGGCAGAAGCCTAGCGTGTTGCATCCTTTCGTGGTGGCAGCCCGAGAGCACAGGGCAGCTGGCATGGCTTCGCGAGATGAGTGCGAGTTGATTGATCATGTTCTTTCATGTTCCAAGTTGCGAGCGACGCGGTACGTTGTGGAGCACAGACTCTTCACCATCCTGACAACACTCCTGACAGCCAGTGCCACAGCTAGGTGTTCTGAAGGCGTTTCTCGCCTCGCGAACACGACCGGGTCCCCGAGGTTTATGCCCTCACCGGCGACGATTGTCGCCTGCTCTTCACCCACCAGCCAGCAGATCCAGCCGGCAGCCTTCGCATATCTTAGCAGTCTTAGCATGCACTGGATTGCAACCTCTTTCAGTCAGAGTGTCACTAGTGGACCTTTGCGGGACTGCCCAGGTCTTTGATGGACTTACCTTGTTTTGCATCTGTGTCTTCGTGCTGGAAATCGTGCTGTGCATGTTTGCAAAGGCAAGCGCGTCTCGCAATTCCCGGGACATAGAGTGGCGAAATAGATCCCCACGAGGATGATTACATTCTTAGCTTCTTTTTCTTCCTGGACATAATCTCTACGATCACCTTGGCACGGCTCTGAGCATCAGCAGAAAGATGAAAATTGTCACGTGCTGTTTGCAAGCAGCACCATGCAGACATGTTGGAGGTGATCGATCTTACATGGATCGCTGATATTATTCAGGGGGACGACGAGGACGTTGACCTCAATGGGTGACTGGGGGTTGCTAGGTCTGGTACGCGCCTGCCCGCGCAGGACATGTCCAGTGATGAGTCTGTCTCTGGAACTGCAAAGATTGGAGCTAGAACCTCTCGAGTAGTTCGGGTGCTGAGGCAAGGGGCTGAGCCCAGCTTCTGCTTCCGAGTGTTCGGCTTTGGGGCCTGCTGCAGGCTGATACGAATCATCAAGCTGTACAAGGCAATCTACGAAGCTAGGCAGCTGCAGAAGAAGAAAGAGGCAGGGACGAAGGAAGAGTTTGTTTGTTCATCGCATGTAAGCAAAGGCACGTCTTTCTCGCATATGTATGTATGTATATATACATATATATGTATCATATATATAGTTATGTGTATGTATATTTATATATATATATATGTATGTATATATATATAAATATGTATCTACATACATATGTACATACCTATGTGCATATGTAGATATGTTGATATGTAGACGGGTATATGCATATTTATATTTATATCTATACATATATTGACAGTGTACATGCGCCAGGAGCTTGCGAAGCAAATTACCCTCGAGCAGATGTACCCTGCCAACGACGATGAGGATTCCTACGACGAGATGGAGGCAAACACGGCTTCTGAAGACACATGTCTTGTTGACCCACATTCCACATGCTTCTCCGCCCTGAAGGTCCAGCAGGCCGGCGGGAAACACGGATTGATGGTGGCTAATATTGTAGAAGGCATTGGTTGGAGTTGAGTGTATTGTCCTGTTGTGTCTTGTTCATATGATAGCACCGTTTCTTCACTTGGAAGTCCTTCTATGACATGTGGGACTCGGGGTTGTCGAAGGGCTGGTACATCGAAGCCGCTAAGAGCCATCTGTACTCTCTGTCTTCGCTTGTTCTCAACGGACTGGCATGCCGCCAGCTGCTCTTCGGACACTTGTCGCCGTGACTCCTCGGACAGTGCATGGGAAAGCAGTACCTCCTTCCCTCTTGCGTGTCTTGTGTGCAACACTGCAAGTGCCTGTCGCTTGGACTTAGTCGACTTGGAGGGTGTTTTGCCAAAGGAGATGAATTAATGACTGTGCTGTGGCCTGACGAAAGTAATTGAAAATGTTGCCTCGGCCTCGACATAAGTGGTCTTGCGTCGACACGGGAGCGCAGTCAAACGGTGTCGGGTCCGAGCAAGTGGAGGAAGGAGGCAGCTAGCTCTACCGTCTTGCTTGTTCCTGCGGCCTCCAAAGTTGTTTGTCATTTGCGTTTATCGTCGACAGCCCGTCGTGATGATGTCCGACGGCCAAATGCAGTGCCGTCTTTCTCGGCTCCTACCTGTTTGTTTAGGGAAGCGATTTGCACTCATCGTCACACTCTATCGACTCACCACGAGGCAAGCATGACGAAGGCTCCGGGTAAGGAGAGCAGGGCCAGACACTCAAGCCATTGCTGCGGATTGCGGAGCTGTGCCGAGACTGGAAGCCGACGACACCGCACATTCGGCTTCAGCTTGTTGCAGATGGCGCTGAGGTAGGGAAGAAGCTTTCTGAGCTGACCACACGCCGTGTCATCCTGCTCGTGCCGGACTTGGCAAAGCTGTTACACAGGCATGTGCCGTCTTGGCAGACTCCAGGACCTCTTTAAAGCTTCAGCTCCAACACAACCTCAGAGATGCTGTGAAGCTTACGAAGACAAGGTCCTCGTCATGATGCTGGTGCTCCCGTACCTCAAGGCCCAAAAACAACATGGTGTGATCTAGCCTGCTGCTCCGGTCCGTCCCCGGCTGTGGGCGAGTTTGGTTACACGTGTGGCTATTCAGGTCGAAGAGGCTCAACAGTTTCCTACCTCTGCTGGGTATGGTGCAGACATTGTGAATCAGGCACGATCCCTACCTCGCACATAACACAGGATGTGCATTCATAGCTGTTGAACCAACTCGAAGTCTTCAGTGGGCTGCTCGTGGGCCTCGGCTAGGCCTTTGATCAGTACTTGGCCAGCTTGGTACTTGGCATCGGCTTGGCGAGTGCTTTTTGCGACCAACGTAGAAAAAAAGCCTTGTCCTTGGCTCAGGCAACTCCACGGCCGACAAGGAGAGATACGACATGGCCTTGCTTGAGTGCTCCTAGTGCATTGCTTTGTCAGCATTAGATCATTAGATACTCCATTGCCAGCAAACCGAACGACTGTGCTTGTGAAAGGTACATCTATTACCACAACTGGTACACCAAGCAGCTGCCATTCGCTATGTTGCTTCAAACTTGATGATCTCACCCAGACTTACAAGACTGCCTGTGCCAAGGCCTGAGTGCCCGATTACCGAAAGCGACGGCTCGCGATCATGTTCAAGCTCGATTTCCTTCGACTCGCACGTGTTCTGGGCCCTTTGTCAATATTTGACTCTTCTTGCGCTATGGTTGTTTGCATGCAGAATGTGACGAAGGCTAAACATGCGCCGAGTGAGGTTGGCTTTGTGGCCACGAATGAGGCGTTGCTTCTGGAAAGACTCCCGAAAGCTTCAGAGCACAGCTCAGTCTTGTTTTGCATGTCAGTCGGTGCTTTTTTTATCACGTGTTGTTTCCTCGAGGTGTCCCCAAGTGCAGTGGCAGACATGGAAGCCCTGGTGACCCAAACATCGGTCGGTGATCAGGCAGCTGACGAGTCGGCTGGCATGTAGCATATTGCTTTCGACTGGCCAGGCGTGGCTTTATGTTTTTGGCCACATGCCAACCAACGTCTTGCCCTCTCTGCTCTCGCTGCACAGCAGAGAGCGAGAGCGCCTACTGAGGTCCAAGCAACTCTCGGACTCAGCTCCTGGCTTGGGAGGGCTTTTGAGAGAACATACACAGGCAATTGTGAAGTAGCAGAGGTTGGAGCAGAGACTGTCCCTTGAAAGACAACAAGCCTCCAACTCAGCCGAAAGCGCAGCTTCCTCCTGACTTGCAAGCACTGCAAGTTGCGCTTGGGCTTGGGTCCAAGGAAGCGGCGTGGGCTCTCCATTTTAGCAGAATCATTTCAGGAAGGTCAATGGCAGGCGAGCCTTTCCTGCTTTTTACTTCTCAAGGAGTCGCTTCTTGTTGCAGCGCAGGTTGACTATGCAGTTCCTTGTCCAGATGATCTGCGAAGAGCCGTGCCCGGCTCAGCTGCTGGCATCAATGAGCTTATGATCCGGTCTGTTGAAGTCGGCTCAGCGAGTCTGCAAGGAACGCAAGAAATACACTCCGCGCTTGAACATCGCGAAAGATCAGTTCGATGACCGCGCCTGCTTTAAGCTCTGGCTCTTTGTGCGCCTGTACTTTGTCGGCGTCGGTAGCCCGTTCTTCCTGCAGGAACTTCACTTTGCATTTTACTTCGACTTGCGACCGTTCGTGAAGCAGGAGTCTGTGTGCATTGCTTAACCTGTCGGGCATTGAGTGTACACACACACATGTATATACAATATATATATACAACTGTGTAATGTATGTATGTAAGTAGGTAGGTAGGTAGGTAGGTATGTATGTATGTTTTTATGAGAGAGAGAGACACCCCTTTTGAGTTTGTTCGGTGCCTCAGCTATGTCCTTGTATAAACACTTTAAGCAGTTTAGTTATTTTAACTCCAACCATTCCAAAAATGTGGACGCCCAAATTTTTGAAATACTTCGAACCACCAATGATTTTAAACGACTTCAGTTGCTTGTAGCAAATGTTTTTGATATACTTGACACAATGAGATTAGGCATAGTTTCAATTGTTTCAACTACTTCAACTTGGGAAATAATGAAGAGGACAATTCCCTGTCATTGGAACCCCCAAATCCCTTTAGAGCCCAGAGGCTAGGCATGTCAGTGTGTCAAAACTGTATGTACGTTCCGGGCCTCGCAACAAGTCCACGTTCAAGGCGCAACGACGGAGACAGGAGACAGGAGATGCATATGAGTCTTGACAGCTGTCACTGACAGTCTCGGCAGGCATCTCAAGATCACACCGTGGAGCACATTGCTTACTGCATACTCGTAGAGGACCGTATGTGTATATATATATATATATATGTTTTATGCGTATGCATACATAACATATGCGTATGTGTGCATGTTCACAACATCATGCACGCATATATGGATTATACATGTATGTCCGTACCTGTATGTATATCGGCACCAGTGTATCACATATGCAAGCGAAATGCACGACCACACAAATGGATCTGTAAAGAGCTAGATAAAGATATAAAAGAAATCGTCGGGGTCTTGGGATTTCAAGTTTCTGGGGCCAGTCGCCATCTGAAGCATTCGGCATTGGCTACCCGTAATATCCTGGTCAGGCTTTGGGTTTAAGTTTCGGATCCGACATCTTCTACCAGGTTCCGGGGCTTATTCTTTCAGGGGTCTCCGCAGCACTCCTCCATTTCAAGGTTTTGGAGAAATCGATCACTGCCTTCAGGTTCTCCACGGCATCATTCATTTTAATGTTTGCTAGTTTTGTCAAGCATCTCTTTTGACGCTTTGGGTTTAGGCCATTCCCCTTCGGGTTTGGGATTTCCCGCCATCATCCCGGTCCGTTTTCAGATTCGAGGCCTTCTTTCAGGGTTTGGCTTGTCCACACATCATCTCCTGCGAGGGTTTAGGGTTCTTTTGGGCGCCAGTCACACCTTGGTAGGGTTTGGGGGTTTGGTACCCTTTTGAAAGTATGGGTTTCAGGTGCAGCATCCCCGGACTTCTGGCCCTAGAGCCTTGCAAGTTTTCAGGACCTTTGACTTGCTGCCCATCATCCCGATTGAGGTTTGAGGTTTCAGGACCCACCCCAGTGAGGGAAATGAACTACCACCCTTGGTATGCCCGGGCTTCTCGGGCTCCTTTCAAGTTTTGGTTTTGCCACCCACACGACCCGACTAGGGGTTGGGATTTTCGGAACCCACTCACATGCTCCTATCCTTGTGAGGTTTTTGTCAAGGTTCAACGCCGCCTCCGAAATCGGCTCTGGATCCAGTCAGTCCCTGCAAGGTTCATGTTTTCCGATCTGTTTTCCGATCCAGTCATTCCTTGTCGACTTTCGAGCTGGCTACCCATCATCTCCTATTGGATTCACGTCTCTTTTTGGGAACCCGGAGTAGCAAAGCATTTACTTCTTTTGAGTCTGAGTTTTGGCAGAGTCTGGGGGTTCCCAGAATCGTTTCTAGCGATGAAAGTTTATCGGCCGTTGTTTCGTCTTAGCCATGCCCTTTTGTGGTTGTGGTTCTGGTCGACCTAGTCATCCATTGCAGGGCTTGGGGTTTGCCCTGGGGCTTTGGGAATTTTGATATCGCGTGCAGAGACTGCAAGTGGTCCACGGAGCTAGGAAGAGCATCATATTACTTTACATTCCAACAAATTCATGTTTCGGCCCATGGGTCTTATCATAGGGAATCTCGTGATATAGAATTTGGCAAACTTTTTGTGCATTGTCATTCCAAATACTTGGTTAACCATACACTGAAGGGGCTGGGCTCATACATAGATACATATATTCATATATACACACACACTGAGACATTTGTACACTCACATGTGAATCAGGCGGCCAGTTATTGACAGAGCAGGAGTCCGTCAAACATACCACGTGCTGCATGCTGGCCTAAGGTTCAATCTGCTCACTGTCGTGTTCGTTTGCATCATGCTGCGTCTGGTGCCCAAATGTGCCCGACAATGCGACGGCCCACAGTGAACATCATACGTGCTGTTCTCTGCAGTTCTCGCCTCCATCGGCTTCACCAACGACGCAAACCGACTTGTGCTGTATCCTGTTGAGAACATGATCGCCAAGGCTGCTGTAGAGCATATTTCGTGAGGAAGCACTGTACATGCTGGATCGGGGTTTCTGCGAGACTGTCCAGGTGGAGACAATCCGGGCTAACCCCTTGGCTGCGATGAAAGTGGCGGACGAGGCCATGTCCCACCGGAGAGCAAGCTGCAACATCTAGCACCGAGCCACATTGGCTCCTCAGGAGTTCAAGGTCGAGGAAATCAACAGGGCCAAAGCTGCCAAACAGGACCTTCGAAGAATGTGCGGGCACAGTGCAAAGTGTGCGTTTTTTCATTGCCACGGCGCAAACTTCCCAATGCAGGAGAAAACACGCTGCCAGGCCAAAGTCCTTTGCGATTCTTCTGATTCGCGACTGACAATACAAGTTCTCCACAAATTAGGCACTCTTGGAGTCCATGGGATGCTATTCCAAACGGGAGAATACAGAGATCATGGAGACAGCACCTGGCCCAGACTTTGCAATCGGTGTAGAGGCTGCATTTCCGAACTTGTGAGGTCATCTTGGAGAAGACCATCATCAAGCTGGGATCTCTCCTTGCGCTTGGCTTCGGGGAGGCTTGCGCAGTCTCGGAGTCTTGGATAATTCGCTGAAATTTGTCTTCTTGTTGCCTCGCTCAAGGCTGGCGCGAACATCATCGAGCACAATATGCACGGTGTCGACAGCGCCTGTGTAGACGTGAATCTCGCTTGTGACTGACAGCTCTCGACAGATGGTCCCAGTGGACACCTCACATGCCAGGCCATGGTGGAAGGCACCCGAGTGGAGTGCATCATTGGTGCTACCCGAATACGAGATTTCAGCACTGCGACAGAGGCAGGCCGTTCCAGCTCAATGTCGACGAAACTTGTTTCTGTATCATTCGTGTCAGGTTTTGCAAGCCAAAGTGATGACCTTTGTCAACCAGATAGCAGAGGCGAGATTGGCTTGAACTCTGTATCTTGACAGGATATTGTACACTGGCACTGGTCTCAGAAGTCCTCATGGCATCAGATTGTCCACGGGGTCGTCGACGAGTTCCACGGCGCCGCGAACAAAAACAATGGCGTCTCAGCTTCTTCTTGCCATACACACAAGCTTTGTGCAGCAGTGCACTTGCACAGGTGATACATTCCTGATGATCTGGAGAGTGGCTGGTGACGACGAGAAGGCTGGTCTTGTTTCTTGTGGCATGAACAGCACGGATGAGAAACGATGGGACCCCCCACACCGACACATACACAGCTCAAGCAGTTGTCGTGATGACTGCAGTCGGAAGTTGCTGTAGAATGAATCTTGCCTACCGCGACTGCAGGTCTCCAAGCTGGCTGACATGTCCATTCTGGCTTTCACCAGGCCAGGTGTGCAGCAACGCCGAAATCGCATCAATGTGCCGTCTTTGGTTCAGGATTCTTGGTGCCATCCACAGGACTCCGGTTCTGGCAGCATACCGTGGTTCGGGCTTTGGATGGCTTTGGCTTTCGAGCCCAATGAATTGGGTTTCAAGCACAGCTACGGCAAGGTCATCCTGGCCTGCAACAGCGCTTGGGCAAAAATTGCAGGTGTCCTGGCTGCGACTGAGACCCCTCCCAGCTACGCTGCAATGCAAGCAATGCAAAACTCTGGCAGGGTAAACCTCAGCAGTGGCCTTCACTACGGCTGGGCCATCGAAGGCTGGCAGAGACTTCAGTACCAGACACGATCTAGCTTCAGGCGATCTGTGTGATTCGCAGTCGCAAGGGTGCCAATTGCTTGAGCAGAAGAAGACTTGCAGCTGTTGAGAGGAGCTGTCGGAAGCGAGTTCAAGATCGATGCGTCATATTTGTCGCCGAATGTACGCCTGCCAAGCTTGTAGAACTATTGCGGAGTTTGTGGGTTTCGAGCAAATTCGCTCTCGATCCTGTCAGGTCAGTATAGCCGAGACGGTTGAGCGAGCTACGCAGATCTATGGCGTAAGCTTGCTGGTCCGGATCCAAGGAGACTGCGAGAGACCGAAGCTGTCGCCAGGAGGCTCTGCTCGCCGCTGCTAAGCAGAGTTGCCGGCGTCGCTGAGTTTCTCTGAGGTGGCAGAGTCAGTGGTCTCCATTTGCTCAGCGCCCATGGCCGCCAAGTGCCGGCTCATCGACCGGGTCATCATTACAGGGCCCGGGCTTCGAAAATCAGACAGACTCTGAGAGCAGCTCTTCGACTTTGGTCTTTGGTTTCTGAGGTCCGTGGTCCCCATGGACCTTTATGTCATTGACCTGGACTACATGAGCCTTACGGCCTTGGGGCCCAGGCATGTCCATGAAAATCGGGGTGTGAGAGTGCCAGCCGAGGTGGAGCCGCCTCTGGGGCCCCAGCGCTGGACCACCAAAGACCGGTTCAAGGCACGGCACAGAGAAACACAGCTGAAAGGCCTCTTGGCAGTGTTCAATCTCTCGGGAAGGTGAGACAATTTCTCGAAAACGAGAAAGATCAGAAGCTGGCAGACGGCGTGGCTTGGCTTTGCGATTCCTTGTCGTGAGTGGTCTTGAGTTTTCACCCTGGGCAATCAATATGTGCCACACCTAAGCATTTGAGCCCAGCGGTGCAATGTTCTGCTTCCACACGCGGAAACTCTCCTGCTGCGACACTGCGCACACGTACGGCAATCATGACACGAGCAGATGGTAAACCAGAGCAGCGACGCGACGGCTGGATTCATGAAGAATGCTATTCAGAGAGATGCTCATGTATGAGTGCCACATAGTACATGACGTGATTGTTGGACGTCCTCCGGACATTGCGATTTGATTCCTGGCGCTGCTCTCCCTTCTGGCAGCTAAGTGCCGCAGTTAAAGAAGGAGCCCTTGGCAGTCACAGACAGCCTCATTCCGCTGATGAGGTAAAAATGGTGAACCTCTTCAACGAGAATGCAGGCAGCCGGCGGGTTTACTTGACTTCCCACCGTTCAACATTCGCGACTGTTTGCAGATATCGCTTCTATGCGCTTCCGGTACACGCTGGAGTTCATTCATGCTCGGACCCAAGACCTCCCGTCTGATGTCAGCGCAATGGTCCCAACTGCCGCCTAAAGCGATTGGCCAGCATGCACGCACTCCTGTCAAACTTTGCGTGGGAGGTTCCTTCGGTATTCCTCGTAGAAGCCTGCTGAAGAAACTGGCTTCTGCCGCTGACGAGGTCTTCAACATGGGCTACCAGAATTACTCGCAGGGAGAGTGGCAGGCGAGCAGCGGTCTTTCAAGCGTGCCGCCTTTTCTGAATGTAACGACGTGCCTATTTTTTTCCGTATCTGCACCGGTCAGGTGGCACAACGGATGTTAGCTCGCACGAGAGATATGCTCGGAGTGGAGGACTGTTGTTGTAGTACAGCCGCGCCCACGTAGTCGCTCCTACTCGACACCTGGCGAAAGCATTGCTTTGTGTGTGTGTGTCATCTCTGACGGCATGCTTTTGCCACTAGGACGGGCCAAGCATCGCATTGTTGAAGTTCATGGAGCGAACAGGCTTCGAGGCTGTCCGGTGCCTTCACTCTTCGCAGAAGGTGGCACCCATAACAGCTCGTGGCAGGCTCCAGACAACTGGATGGGTATTCGCGATCTTGGCTTGCTTCCGAGACTTTGGCAGACCCAGAATGCTGCTACAAGGTGTATGTGATCCTGGTCAGACTTGGATCTGTGCGCAGCCTTCAGGCCATGCTTCGCTGTCCTAAATCAGGGCGTCTGAGGTGGACTCTTTTCCTTCGAGCGAGCACATATGTGCTGTTTGCATTGAAACTCTTCAAGTATCTAGGCTTCTGCAGATAGAAAGGAAAGTGGCACGACAAGGACCTGCTCACGTTCGGTTTCACATATGCCCACTGCAAAACGCAGAATGGTCCAATGGTTGCTAGTAGTTGGTCGCGATGGCAGCAAAGACAGCCCCAGAAGTCTGGTAGTCTCTTTGTTCTGCGGCAACATAGCGAAATTTTCCCAGCTGCCGGCGTGATGCAGAACAGGAGTTACAGCGAGCGACGCTTGTAAACAAACTACTGGCGGCAAGCAAAAGTGCTTCCGCCATGGCTGCAGCGAGCAGGCTTACACACCTTGACTACACCGTAGGGCAAGAGCATTCTGCAGACTGCAAGCCCACGTTCTCGGAGGCACATCGCGAAGCGTTTGTGCTTTCATTTTCCCGATTATTGTTGTGCTTGCAACAAAGACAGTCAAGCCGACGGTATCTTGTGCAGCAGAGGGTCATCGATCACTGTAGATTGGCCCCATAGCTGCTGACGACCAGGGCACCGCAGAATTCAGAAGGCTCACAGCCCACTGGTCTCGCCAAACATGATGGAGGCAGGGAGGTGAGAAAAGCTTCTGCTGTGCCTTGAGGTTTGTTTCCGGAATCGGTGTCCGCCGTGCATTTCAGCCCATTTTGAGCGTTGATGGGTGTGGTGGGTTAGTCCTTTCGGGTTTGGTTGCTTTTTGGGGGTGGTTTTTACTTTGTGCTTCTTTAGGGCTTCTCTTTTCAAACTTCCCTTCCTTCGCCGCCTTCCAGGCCTCATCAAACCAAACGGGCTTCTGACCTCCGGCTTCGTTCATGCTTGCATGAGTGACCCTCAGCTCTCCCTGGCCATCAATGAACCCAATGGCAAATCCAGCAGCTTTTACTCCGGGTTCCTTCGCCACGCGGCGCAGGGCCCCCTTTCCCGGCACCATTCCCAGCTCTCTGCGGAGCAGCACGCAGCCCTACAACCGCGTAGAAGAGTTGCCCCTCTTCCTCTTCACTGCCTTCGTTCTTGTGGTTATGCGGCCCCCTGCAACGAGTTGCATTCGTGTCTGGAAGCCAGCGTTTGTTCGCCCATGCCAGGTTTTTTTGTCTGGGGGAGATAACGTCGTATTGTAGCAGGTTAACTGTTCAAGGTGCAGGCGTTGAGGGTAACAATCTGAAAGCTTGCTGAACAACTGCAGCTGTGCCCCAGGATTTCGATTTTACATGGAACGCTGTCGGGATTTAAACGTTCAAGTGTTTGGGTGTTGTAGGGATTTGGTGGCTCAGCATGCTCCTAAGCATCTTCATGCTTGAGCTGTTTAGGGTTTAAGGTTTTGAGGTCTTCGCGGCCTTGGGTTTGAAGGTCTAGAGCTTCTTAGCTTAGAGGTGATGAGAGAAATGATGTTCTTTTCCTCCTGTTTGGGTGGTTCAAAGAATAGAACGAACAAGAAGTACTGTCGAATCCAAGTTGGTCGGGTTTCTCGGTTGTGTCGCGGGCCCACTATGGCTTACTGTCAGGCCGTGCTCGAGGTTCTTTGATTTTCGGGTTTAAGGGTTCATGCGTCGTTAAGACATGTCAAGTCAAGGTGTCAGCCCTTTCGTTTTTTGGGCCCTCCCGGGTTCCTTCATAGTTCGAAGCAGATGAGCTTGCACCCGTGATCGTTGTTGCGAAGCACTTGGATTTATTGAAGCCGGAGAAGGCATCCAAGTTCAAGCCTGCCATTTTCGACGACGGCATGTTGCAAAAGATGGATGCCTCGTTCTTGAAGGCGTGCTTGAATCCAATCGAAATTCGCTCGAAACGTATAGCAACTGCACGCCAAATCTGATGTTCACGTGGTTGCACAGTGAAGCAAGTTTGTTGTAGTGTGAGTTGCAACATTATCCATGGAAGTGTAGGCATGTATAGCATGGTCTCTATCTATCTATCTATCTATCTATCTATCTTCATCTCTGTAGGTATGGGCCGGGGAAGCATAATAGGTGGGGTAAGGGGTGGTAACCATGGGCGGGGTCGGGCGACGCTGCACCATATATATATATATGTATATATATATGTGGGTACATCCTGCGGCCTCTTCTTTGCTGTGTCAGTGCAATTACATGACTGTACATGTTTTTACGACGGATTGACTCTGTAGCTTTTTGAGGTTCATGAGCAGGGCCCTTCTAGGCGCGTCGTCTGCTTCGTCCGTCGGTCTTTTGGTTCATCTCCTTCATCACTTCGCTTCGCCCGAGGCCCCTCCTCTGGATTTCTCCTGCCCGGCCTGTCTCGACTGCCTCGACGGGCTTCACTGGCCTAGTTTAGGGGTCGGGGTCCTTATAGGGTTCCTGGTGTGGCCGGTCCTCGAACTTCTCCTCTACCTGAGGGCTTTCCTGTTGCAGTTCGCTGCCAACCGCCTTCAGGGGCGGACGGTCTTTTCCTACAGGCTCCTTTCATGAGCTTGGGCTCCCGGGTGGCTGCACTGGAACGTGAGGTCGCTGAGCTCCGAACTTTGGTTGCAAGGCTTTCCGCTCAGCTTGAGGAGTCTGAGGGTTCCTCTTTCGACATAGTGCCTGCTAGCTCCCCTGCAGCCTCGCTGCCTCGACCCCTAAACTCCAGCCCCTCAGCTGCCAGCTCGCGGTCGCCGGCCGCTTTTTCCCCTCAGACCCGTGCCTTTGCCCCTACCCCGAGCTCTGCTGCAGGAGCTTCGGCAGTCACACCTGGCTCGCGTGGAGCCGCCTGCCGGGAGATTGGGCTTTTTCTCCGCCGGTGCCTCAACGGTGAACATAGGGGTGCTTCGGGGAGGGATAGGCTGCCTGGTGGGTCTAGGTTTTGGGTTGTTGCAAAGGACTACCACGGTTGTGTGCTGAGCCCGGTGCAGGTTTTTACCAGGTTTTCCGATTGCAGGCCCGTTGTCAAGCTCGGCTCCGATTTGGGGCTCAGTGTGTGCATCGGCCTCCCTTCCAGAGGGGACGTGATTGCAGTGTGCTCGGCGGCTGGGCTTGAGCTGCCAGCAAAGTGGTGAGATGGCTCTTTCTGAGCCCGAAGCCGACTTCGACGGTGAGCCTGTTACGGCTCGGGACGCCCTTGCTTCGGGCGAAGGCTTTGTGGATTCCTTTTGCCCGCCGGCCTTGTTGCGATGTGGGGCCGACGAAGGGGACGAGGCGATCACAGTGCAAACTTTAGTGGTGCGAGAGGTGGAGGGAAAGTTGGTTGTGGCCGTGCCTGCCTCCGCCTGGCACAGAAAGGTGTCGAAGCGTACGCTCCCGAAAGGGTTTTTAACCAAGGTCGCTGCTGCAGAGGTTGCTGCCTGTGCCGCCTCCGATCGAGGCACCGCCGTCGAGGGCGTCGCTTTAAGGGTCTGGTTTGGTCTGCTGGAACTCTCGGCAGAGCATGCTCTGGATGTCTCGGAAGACACCGCCTCAGTGTCTCTTGGGGCGCTGGCCGATGGAAGCCCTGCCCTGCCCTTTGTGCCTGCCCTCGTTGCTGCTGTGAACGAGAGCTTTGCCTTCGTCTCTGCGGAGTCGGCCGGACCCGCTTCGGCTCCCCTTGCTGCTCGTCTCGACCGTCTCGAGCGGCTGCTTTCGTCCCTGCCTCTGCAAGGTCCTCAAGAGCCCGAGGTGAAAGGTCAGGCCCGTGCCAAGAGCAAGGCGGCTCCGAAGGCTGCTGCCAAAACCCAGCAGGTGCGAGGTGTTTTGGATCCGTCGGTGGCAGCAGCTGCAAAGGCTGCTGGAGTGCCCTCTACCACCCTGAGCGAGTTCGAAAGGCTGCTTGCCCAACCGGCTGGGAGTCGCTTTGCCCCCGAGCCTCTGCCTGTCGCCGGCCCCGACCCTTTGGAAGAGTCGGAGGCGGAGGCGGTGGAGGACGACGATGGTGCCGAGGTCGCGGCCGCAGGTGCTGGATATCCCGCTCTCAGGCCGAAGCAGCCCAAGGAGAGCAGCCAAGCCGAGCAGTTTGCCGCCGCTATGTTCAGGATGATGGAAGGATATTCCAGAGGGCAAGCAGCAAAAGCTTCAGCTTTGGAGCGGGCCATGGACGGCGTCGGAGGTGGTACGGGCGAGTCCTCGGGACTCCCTTCGGGCCGGCGAAATGCATCAGCCCGCCGGGCCTTGCGAGAAGCCCTGGTGAGCTCCCCGGGCGAAGTGACAGCGGTGATAGAACGGCTGATGCAGGAGGATATGGCTTCCTCAGCCCCGGGGGTGGGCATGCAGCAGCAGACCAGTGCCAGAGCGTGGCTGGAACACCGGTCCCGCGTGGGCCCTTACCCCACAGCGATGTACCTCAGCTGGTCGGCCGCGGGGGCCCTCGACGCCCTGCGGGCCGGCCTCGTCGACCAGGCTCGCGCGAGACTCAACGTGATGTTGATGGTCATAGACCAGATGTCGGTCGACAAGGGGTCGTGGACCCTAGCCTCCGAATTGACCCTAGAACTCCCCCCGCCGGTCCAATCTTTCCGTCTCAGGGAGCATGCGGCCAGCAGCTCAGGCGGGTTGGCGTATTCCAGACTATTGGATGCAAGGTGGGCAGAGGTCTCGCTGACTCACCTGAGGGAGCAGATGGACTTTGCCGAGCGCCGGCAGAAGCTGCAGAAGGGGCAGGCCGCAGCACTGAGCCAGGATACGGCTCCCGATCTGAATGCCGAGGGAGCGGCTGGTGCCCCGGGGCGTCCGCCCAGAAAGCCCCCCAAGAAACC